TCCTTGATCAATTTCGGGTCGGGTACGGTGATAAGTATCCCGGCCCGGCCCAGCCCAGCCCCGGCCCCATTTGTCCCTGAAGTGGTACATATATATATATATATACTTTTTGATTAGTTTCCCTATCTCTCATTCATTTCATTTTTTCATTTCATATCTTCTCTCTCTTTCTCTCTTTCTCTCTCTCTCTTCCTCACTTCTGAATTAAAGGCTTTGATCTCTCTCTCTCTCTCTTTTCCTTACCGTCTCTCATCTCTCTCTGTGCACAGAATCAGAGTTGCCGCAATGCCACGATGCCTGAGTGCCGAATCGATCTCTCTGTGTCGCAATGGTAGAGTCGATCTGAGCAGATTGATCTCTCTCTCTACTTAGATCTCTCTCTCTGTCTACTCAGATCTCTCTTGCACCAGATCGACCTCTCTGTTGTTGATGTTGGTCGACGATGATGTTATTGTTGGTCGATGATGTTGTTGATGATGTTTGTTTGTTTTTTTTTTTGATCGGATGTTGATGATGTTTGTTGTTGATGATGTTGAGGATGTTGAATTTATTGCTGCTCTGTTTGGGTTTTGTTTTTTTTGTTTTTTTTTTGGTCTGGGAAATTTTCGGGGTCGGGTAAACCCGATCCCCGTCAGGGGGTGGGGACGGGGATGGTGATAAGTTCCCTGTTGGAGATCAGGGCTGGGGACGGGGAAATGTTTACCATCGAGGATCGGGGACGGGAAGTGTAATCCCGGTTCTGCCCTGCCCCGTTGCCATTCCTAGCTGTAAGGGGCACTCAAGATTTGTAGAATGGGAGGTTATTGGAAATGGGCTAGACCCATTGGATCCAAAACAAACACACAAGCACACCGTCGTTGTCCGGTCAGGCGGGTGTGAGGTTAGGTTATCTTTTTGGGCCAAAACCTTTTGAATTTTATTTTTTCCAAAAAAAGAAATATATATATATATATATATTCTTACCGTTTGAAATTTAAAATTAATTCCGAAATGATCCCAATGTTTCTGAACATTGGCAGTTTGGTCCCTTGCACCTCTTTAGAATTTTTCTTCCAACCGAATAGGTTCATTATCTATTCAAATTTAACCCGAACAAGTACTTTACCTGTTCAAATCTATCCGGACAAGTTTGGTAATTGTTGAAGTCATTCTGAAAAGCCACCAGTTCACACAAATCCTTCATTTTATTTTTTATCCATTTTCGTTCTGCTTTTCTGTTTTTATTTCCTGCATTTTGCTACATAAATTTCCTGTGTGAGAAAGAGTATAAACACAAAGTGTGTTCGTTAGACAATTAGTTGGTAGTGTTGCTACTAGTTGTCGTTGATTATTTCATCCTGGGAGATAGACGTCCAATATCTGTGAGTAACGTAGAAAAGACGAATCTGTCTTAATGACACAGTATTCAACACTAGACTTGATCAAATTTTGTTCTAGAAAATTATACAGTAAGTGATTAGTTTACTTTTCTATTTTTATTAATTTTTCTTTTTCAGATTCTGATTTTGTTTTTGTAACAAAATAAGAATCTGTTTTTATTTATTTATTTTTATATACTATTTTGATTTTTGTAATCAAACAGTCACTCTCCTCTCTTTAATCCATTCTTCGAATACAGTGAAGATTGTCTAAAAATCTTAAGACAAATCATTTTTTGGTGTCTTCATTGTATTTATTTTCTGTGCTTTCACAAACTGATATTCTGGTTGGAAAATACAAATTGTAGTCATATACTGTTTGATAAATAGCAGTAATATACTGTTTATTTTCTTTGACAAATAGTAGTAATATACTATTCGTTATTAACAATTTCAGAATATTAATTAGTGTAGTAGTATTACAGAAAACTATTGTGTAGTATTTTATTTTTTTTGTTTTAGTAACTTATATTTATAATTTACCTCATATATATATATATATATATTATTTTAATTTTTATAATCAAATAATTTCTCTTATTTCTTTAAGTCCTTTCTTTAAATACACTGAAAATTGTCTACCACAACCCAGTTCAGAAAAAAAGGACAAAAGAACAAGAATCCTCCAATTATTGTTGATTGATAATCCAAAAAAAAAGGAAAATATGGATTGATATAGGAAATTGCTTAGCCTCCGTTTGAAAAGTGGGTTAATTTTTTAATTTTTTTAGTCTGAGTTAAAACGTTTAATTTGAGAAGAATTTTTTAACATTTTGATTTTTTTGATTTTTTTTGTGAAAGAAGAGTGTAATGATTATAAATTTAATGTGATATTTTATTTGTTGTGACTAAAATAACTTATTTTATCTTTTGTGACTAAAATAACCTCAAACTTCCTTGCCGAACGGAATCTAAGTCTACCGGTTGAATTTTTTTGTTTTGGTTGCACTTTATTAGTCAAGCCATGTATGGATTATGAATTTCTGAATGAACCTCTAAAAGCTAAATAAAGTTCACTTTACCAGTCTCATCCTAAATTTGAAACCACTGTTCAGGAGATCAGCTGGAAGACTAATCACACTAAGGCATCGTTGAGAAGGTTGGTGGAGGCTAAATTAGTCACTGAAAGATAAAAAAGTCACAGTTTTGCCTGGCAAGAAGAAATGCTAAGAGAAATTTACGAAACTACCCCTCATGAAAGAGGGGCATGCGGCAGCACAAAATAAAAAATCCCAAAAACACATTTTTTCAGAAAAAAACAAAGAAAGTTGAAAAAACAAAAATTAAAAACATTTTTTTTATTTTTTGTTAAAATATTTTATAAAAATAAATTCAAACTCTATTTCATAAAAATAGTTTTAAATATTTGAATTTTTTTGTTATGCATTTGGTTATAATTTGAATGTAGAGTTGTGAAAGTAGTATGAAATTTCAAGTTATGTATTTGGTTATGAGTTTTAAAAATAATTTATTACTTGAGTTTTATTTTATGTGTTTGATTACGATTTGAGTGTAGAGTTGTTTTTAAATTTAAAATATTAACATTTTAAATTATTTAAATTTTTTTGTTAAAATAATTTTTTGAATATTTAAATTATTTAAACTTTTGCAAATAAATTTTTACCATTTGTCTCGTAATTTACAAATAAATAAAAAAAATTAATGTGTACAAATAAAAAAATTAAAATTAAAAATAAATCTTCTTATAAATTAATTTCTTTGCTCTTATAAACCATCCAGTTGTTTCACTGGTCGGGTAGTGACGAAAGTGGTAACATAGATCTGTCTCATGAGTAGGGGTGAGCATGGTCCGGATTGGACCGGATTAGGATAAAATCAGGATCAATCCGTTATCTACAGTTCCTAAAAAATTGGAATCAATCCAATCCGTTTAAATTATGGAACCAATCCGAACCAATCCATTTAAATACAGATTGGATCGGTTTAGAACCACAGATTCACATAATTAAATAACAAAAATATATATATATATAACACTTTAATTTTATAAAAATTTAAACATAACGCTATGTTAGTTCCACAATAACAACATATTTTTCTATAATAGCGACATACTGCTCTAAAATTTAAATAACCATAAGAAAACTGGTTTCACTATAAGTATTTAAACCATTACAAATTAAAACTAAAAAACAACAAAAAAAAGTAATAAAAGAATATATTATACGGTTTTAGGTTTGAGTTTAGATTTTATATAGAATTAAGAGAAGATACTATGGGAGAGGATGTATAATAAAAATATAAACTATTTATATACGGTCCGGATCGATTCCAATCCGGAACCGTGAGATTCAATCCGGAACCAATCCGTAGACTACGGATTTTTAATTATTCAATCCGAAACTGAACCGCGAATTCAAAAAACCAATCCAAACCTATCGAATTGGACTGGATCGGATCGAATTACGAATTTCACGAATTACTTGCTCAGCCCTACTCATGAGGTGGAAAATTTTGTGTCTCTAAAAGAGATACCCTCATCCAAATTAGTTCATTTCAATTGAGCACAGAAAATAACTAAAGCATCAAAAAAATTGGCAGCCACAGACAAAATTACTTTAGTCACAAATTTTTTTTTTTAAAAAATAAGAATAAAACATGAAAAAAAAATGCTTGGAAGCACTAATTAGTGCTCCCACTAATTAGGTGATAATGAGTCCCGTCATTAATGATGTGATGTTTTAATCTTGGAATTATATTTTTTTTTTGTTTTTTTACTTTTTTAATACATTAGTGCTATTAGTGGTGATATTTTTAGTGGGATGAATCATTGTTGAACATGAAAACAGAAACACATTCTGCAAGAAAATCAGTCGTAGGCTTGTAGCACCCTCTCCTTCAAGTCACCAAACTTCACAATTTGCAAACACGGTTTCAATACAATCAGAGTGTGTTACACCATAAACAATCAGGCAAAGGAAAATGTCTCGTAACTCAAATTTTGTGGCTCAAAAGTGGCTCAAATGGCCAAAACGACGTCATTTTAACCATTTTTTTGTTGTTCTGTACTCAAAACGACGTCGTTTTGACCATTTGAGCCACAAAATTTGAGCTACGTAGCGTTGTCGATCATGCAAAAACAAACTAATTAACATATGCATTGGAACAATACCCATTTATCTGTTCTCAAATCCAACGCAGTTTTAACTAGTAATGGGAATGCCAACAACAGCAAAAATAACATTTGCAGTCTAAAACTGTAACATGTCAGGGAACATATCCGCTACCAGCTTCATCCAACACTGCATTATAAGTTCCAACAAACCAGCAGATGCAAAGGTACACAAGAAAGATTACAGGGTAAAAGACTTGTAAGAAAACATAAGCACGAAAACAAGAGACTCAGAGGACCCAATAAACATAAAAGAAAACAGGGCACCCGTCAAGAAAACATCTTCTCGGAGAAATGACCTCTCTCCTTAAGTTCTTCCACTGGATTCCTTTTCCTACACAATAAAAGCCAGATAAAAAAACAAAACAAAACATTAGTAACAATTATCGGACACTTCAAAAGAACCATTAGCAACAAACACAGTGCTGAGAAATAATTAAGAGCGCTTACCTTGTCAATAGCTTGGTATGATCAACGATCTCCATGAACAGAACTCAGATGAACTTTTACAAAGACTGAAGCAAAGTGGCATTACCCACTGTCGAAAATTATGAAACTAATGGGGCCTTAGAATTGGGCAGTGCAACACAGATATCCATACGAGGGGGGTCTACATAATAAAGAACAGATGCGGCGACTACCTACTCCTCCTTCCCACTTTCCTTATCAAAAAACAGAAAAGATGGTGAAGGGGAAGGCAACACTCCCTCAGAGTGAAGATATAGGAGTCAGATCCAACTAAAGAAAGAAAATAAAAGAAATGGTGCAAATGAAGGGAACGAGATGCGAGGAGCCCATTCCGGCTCCTTGCATGCACAAGAGGTGGGTAGAAGAAGAATGCAAGGAATGTTTTTAGGTAGTCAATTCAGGCAGGATTGAACTAGAAGTGAAGCTATATCTGAGAACTAACATAGGACACTAGAGCCACGATTGAGGACCAAAGGTGACCATAACAACAATAAAACAAAACACTATATGCTACAGAAGATGTAAGTAATGGGGTCAGGATTCTATAGTATACACAAGAGTATATGAAACTAAAACCCTAAACCTAACAAAGTAAAAGTCAGCAATTCTGTGAGGAGATTATACAATAAACCAGGTATCATATCTTCATCGATCAACTAGAATTGAACCTCCCTTTAAGCCGAATTGGGAATTGAGTAGTTAATTTTCTGAACCCACAACAAAGGACTACAGAAATCAAACAGATTTGATAGAAAATCCCCATCCATTAATCCCCTTTCTGCTTCTGAAACATTTTTAGCAGCCATCCAATCCATGTCACACCCAACCCAATATATAAATAAAGCCCACATCAAACTTCAACGCAATATCTGGAGATTGATGACCAACCAACCATCATTTTTGTCTACACTCACTACATAATCACTGAATTAACTTGAAGAGAATCGCACTACTACGGGCTTGTTTTATTCACTCTATTTACAATCTACCACTACCCAAGTTTGCACACTAGTTTATTTACAGGAGCAGCCCGACGCTCCTCACGCTTCATTCATCTGAAATGTCCAGATTGAGAATGCGACGGAGGGTCTTCGTCGCAGAGTCAGCACTGTGAAAGAGAGCTCTAGTAGAGTAGCTATGGTCCCTTGTGGGTGAAGGGGGTGCAGACTTAGCTATGGGATGAAAATCGATATCAGAAGCTGATGAAGCAGGCAAGTCAAGTGATACAGTCCTTTTGGGACGAAGTGAAAATTTAGGTATAGGCAGAGAACTAGGAGGAGGGGAATTGGAATAAGCTGGTCCAGCCCAGAGCTCAGAGAAAGCAATCTCATCATTGAAAAACCCCTTCTTGTTACGATCAGATTTAGTGTTGATAGGAATGGGTACACTAGTACTACTCGTCACAGTTCTTTTCAAGTTTTTAGATTCATTGAACTGAGATTTCAGAGATGGTGTTTTGGGGGAAGAACAACATTCCTGTTTGGTTACAGTACTAATACAAGCCTTTAACGGGGTTGGGAGTATCCCTTCTCCGGATTGGAAAGTTCGGCAATTGATATCTTTGAAACCTATCGAAGGAGGGGATCCAAATGATCCACATGTTGCAGGGCCATTATGAGCCCGGGTGCTTCTACTGTAGTATTGATTCTGATGCTGAGCAACAACAAGAAGAGTCTCCATAGGAAATTTATCCGCGAGTCCAACTACGATTACTCGATCCAGTTAAGCCGATTCTAACACATTAACATTCAAGATCTATACTAAACTCTAAAAATACCTCTGGATCTTCTCCATAACCACCAAAAACTGAGCAGATTTGCGTTGATTTCAGTAAATCCAAACCATACGTCAAGCATATATGTAGATCGACAAGAACCAGCAAAACAAGTCGTCCTTGATCTCTTCAAAGCAGCAGTCGTCGATTCAACGATCAGATCTATACAAAAACAAAACAGATAAGCGAAAAACAAAACTAAACCAAACCGAATCGATTTCATTTCCTCGGAGAAAGTTGGAGAGAAAATTACCTGAACAGGCCAGAAAGTTGGAGTGGATCGATGATGATGATGATGATGGTGATGATGAAGAGTGACTGAGACGAGTGACAAATAAAGGTCTCTCTCTCTCTCTGTGTGAATCGATTTGATAGAGGTTGAATTATCTTTCAATGGAGTAGGTGGGATTTTTTTTTTTTCTCTCTGTTGTCTGCTCACAACGCCATTGGAAGTTCGGCCTCTGAGCTTTTGTAAAGCAGAATCCCCCGGATCTGAAATGACTTCATAGTCAGATTTAATAGCATCTCACAGGTACGCCTGCGTGCACCTTGTGAGTGCGATGTTGTTGTCAAGGCTTAAATTACATTCACATCCCCATACACTTTCGAATTCACAATTAACATATCTTCGCATCGTTTGAAAAGGTTGCTATTTTGATCGATTATTTTTAATTCTTTAGTTACTTTAATCTTCGTTGGGAAAGAGGTAAAATAATTTAATTTTTTTTAATTTTTTAAATTATTTTAGTTTAATTTTTTTTAATTTTTTAAATTATTTTAGTTTAATTTTTTTTATTTTTTCTAATTTTTTAAATTATTTTAGTTTTATTTTTTTAACCTTATTTGATTTTTATTTTTGACTTTTTTAATTTTTATAAGTGAAAGTTAATTAATTATTAACCTAGTTGCATTTGGAAAGTTAAATAATTATTTTTTTAATTATGAGAAAAATTGAAATAATTATAAATTAAATATGATATTTTATCTTATTAATTATTTTAATATATTTCTCTTTTAGTGGACTATTTTAGCCTAACACTCTTCTCAAATACTTCCATTAACAAGAAGTTATTGGTTGGTCTTGAGACACCGTTATATGATACCCCAACGATGTTGTGATTGATGAAGAGAGTGTGATTCATGAATTTGGATTGAGTGATTGAGAAATATGAGAAGATATAGTAAATTATGATTTATTAAGGACATGGTCACGTAACGCTTTTGGACCAACTAATAATATTTGGTTAACAAGTGTCCTTGGTACTTACTAAAAGTAAGAAAAAGTGTATTATAATTATAATGTGTTTTGAAATTCATAAATAGGTTTGTTTTGAAAAGTTGATTAAAAGTTAATTTTTTAATTTTTTTTTTAAAAAACACATGTAAAAAAATAGAGAGATTATGTGGCATGAAATAAGTTAAAAGTTAAAAAATAACTTTTTACTCATTTGTCAAAATAAGCCACAATGTATTGAATTTAATAATAAATACAATGAAATTGATATTTTTTTAAATCTTTTTCCCCACCCCTAAGAGAACTTGTTAGCAAGACCATTCACCATAATATGAGAAAGTGTGTTTTGAAATTCATAAATAGGTTTGTTTTATTAAGTAAAAGTGTATTATAATTATAATGTGTTTTGAAATTCATAAATAGGTTTGTTTTATTAAGTAAAAGTGTATTATAATTATAATGTGTTTTGAAATTCATAAATAGGTTTGTTTTATTAAGTAAAAGTGTATTATAATTATAATGTGTTTTGAAATTCATAAATAGGTTTGTTTTATTAAGTAAAAGTGTATTATAATTATAATGTGTTTTGAAATTCATAAATAGGTTTGTTTTATTAAGTAAAAGTGTATTATAATTATAATGTGTTTTGAAATTCATAAATAGGTTTGTTTTATTAAGTAAAAGTGTATTATAATTATAATGTGTTTTGAAATTCATAAATAGGTTTGTTTTATTAAGTAAAAGTGTATTATAATTATAATGTGTTTTGAAATTCATAAATAGGTTTGTTTTATTAAGTAAAAGTGTATTATAATTATAATGTGTTTTGAAATTCATAAATAGGTTTGTTTTATTAAGTAAAAGTGTATTATAATTATAATGTGTTTTGAAATTCATAAATAGGTTTGTTTTATTAAGTAAAAGTGTATTATAATTATAATGTGTTTTGAAATTCATAAATAGGTTTGTTTTATTAAGTAAAAGTGTATTATAATTATAATGTGTTTTGAAATTCATAAATAGGTTTGTTTTGAAAAGTTGATTAAAAGTTAATTTTTTAATTTTTTTTTTTAAAAACACGTGTAAAAAAATAGAGAGATTATTGTTGGAAATGGTTAATTTTTCCTCAAGTTCGGTCTATTTTTTAGGTGGGCCCCGAGTGTCGATTTACTCGGGTCAAAGTGGTAACGCGTTCTATGCCGCGTTGTGATTCACGTGGTATATTTGGTTGCTCAAAACCATTACCGAGTGAATGGGAAATTGAAGCCAAAGTGTGCTCCATGAAAATGGAGTTTTGGTGGAAATTCCTTAAGGTTGTAAATTGGCTTGTCCCACATTGATTTGGTGGGAAGTTTTGAAAGGGTTTATAAGGCTTAGGGTAAGATACTTGGGGTGTGCCCCAAGGGGTACCAAAGTAAAATTGTATGTATTCGTTTGAATTTAGACAGAGGAAAGTCCATACGCTTTTAAAACAAAAATTTGTATTGCATCTCAAAATTTTATAGGTTATCTTCATACACTTTTTTTTGTTGAAATTATATTTTATGAATTGTAATATATTACATACTACTTTTATAATCAAGCTACGATGTCAAAATTCTAAACGAGGGCCACTTTCGTTGGTTTTATTTCTTAAATTTGTTTTTTAATTTTTGATTTTTTATATTTTCTCAATTTTTGTGATTAATGATATTGAAATTTTTTCATATTTTATATTTAAATTATACTTTTACATGAAAATCTAATATCTTAATCTTGGTTTTAAGCTTCCAAGAGGAGCTTTGGACTCTTGGCTCTATAAAGATGGTATTAAATCAAGCCGAATTTAAGGGCTTTGTAATGGGTTGGGAAAGGGTCTAGAAATTCTGAAGGTGGTGAATCCTGGTCCACATGCATTAGTGCCTTCTCTCAACCATGTGGGTGAAGGCCAACCAGATATTATCATTAAAGTCCACGAGGGTCCCAAACAATTTGTAGTGCTGCTATTGTTTGTGGTAGATCATTTCATCCTGGGAGATAGACGTCCGAATTCTGAAAGCACCGTGGAGAGGACGAATCTGTCTTAAGGACACAGTGTCAAACACTGGACTTGATCAAAAAATAATTCGAAGAAATTAAATCAAGTAAGTTATTTAATTACTTTCAGTGTTGTTTTTATTTGTTTATTTATTCGGATTTTAATTTTGTTTTTGTAACAAAATAAAATCTGTTATTTATTTATTTATTTTTATTTCAAGTTTGATATTTGTAATCAAACATATTCTCTCCTTTTCTTTATTTCTTTATATTCTGGTTGTTGTTTAGTACACAACAGAATTTAATTAATTTAAATACAGTGAAGATTGCCTAACAATTATGTGGCATGAAATAAGTTAAAAGCTAAAAAATGACTTTTTACTCATTTGTCAAAATAAGCCAAAGTGTATTGAATTTAATAATAAATACAATGAAATTGATATTTTTTTAAATCTTTTTCCCCTACCCTAAGAGAACTTGTTAGCAAGACCATTCACCATAATATGAGAAAGCTTTATTTATAGTATGACTTATTATTTAATTTTTTTTGGTTATTATATGAAAAGATATGAAGAAAAACTAATCCTTTAGATATAAAATAAATAATAGAAGCAACAACTATAAAAAGTTATTTTGATAATATAGTATGAAATAATTTCCTTTCTGTTTTTAACACTATTACAGATATTTATATGTTTTTACATATTTCATGTTTTTACATATTTCAATTGTATTTGACACTAATAAATACTATTAGCCAGTCCTCAAGGTTTTCCTTTAGTTGATTAAAAGTTTGCTTGGCACAATTAATTCCATTTAGACCATTTGTAGTAGATTGTGCTACTTCAAGTATATTAATTATGGTGGTACTTCATGTATTAATTAGTATTTTAATACTAGTTATGACATTAATATTGATCCCACTCATTTTACAAATTATAAATACCAAAAATCTCTTAAATTATGTTACATCATTAATTGGTGCACTAGTTAGTGTATTAATTGGTGCATATAGCATTATTCCATTAATTATGTTTAGATTTTTTCAAGTTTTTCATCTCAATTTGAGAGAGTGTTTAGATTTGGTGACTCTATTTTAGAGTCGACCTCGATAATCGAAGCCATTCACATGCTAATATTATATTTTAGCATGTTACAATATCAAAATATTATATTTTTAGAGTTTAGAAAAAATATTTAGTTTATAGGGCTAGAATGAACTAAAATTTTCAACCCATTTAATTTTAGATTGGGTTTGGATTAAAAGAGTTTTAGCCTATAAAACCTATTCCTTTAGATATAAATTAAATAATAGAAATGACAACTTGATAATTGTAGAGGGTCAAAAGTTAAACTACAAATTAAGTATGAGCCTAAGTGCTGAGGTCGCTCCAATGGGGCGACCAGGAATGAAAAAGGAACATAGGCTATGGCTAAAGGGAAGTAGGCCAATAGAGGGTCAAAGTGGGTCCGACCCGCCAAGGGTCCAAACAGACTCCACGAAGGAAAATGCCTAAGTCAAGTTGCAGAGGCAACACGTGCAACGGTCAAGCCGCGGGGGGAACACTTATGGCGGTCAAGTTGTTACGACGCTTTGCCTCGGCGCTTTGCTGCCATTACCCAATAATGTCAGTCCAGCCACCATCTGATATGGCTAAGGAAAAGAGAAAGACGAAGCAACTAAGTTGCAGAGGCGACATTTGCGATAGCCAAGTTGCGGAGACACTTTGTCTTAGCACTGCTATTCTAGGTATTGTTGGTTCCGCCTCCACTTAAAGTTGTTGAGGCAATGAAAGAACCAAAACAACTAAATTGCAGAGGCATTACTTGCAGCGCCCAAGTTGCAGACGTACTTTGTCGGCGCCATCTCCAATATTGTTGGTTTTGCCATTTAAACTTGCCACGGGAAATGACTGTCGCAGCAATTATAGCCACTGCAACCAATTTGCGAAGAGAACATCCTGCCAAGGTGATAGCAGCCTCTGGAAAAAACTTCCCCTCTGCAAGAAGATGCTAATGCTTGGCGTTGATAGCAGGCCTCAAAGTTCATTAACTTGGTGATGATAGAAGGCTCTAAGACTTATTGGTTGGAGCTGATAGTAGGCCTAGAAATACCAGTTTATCACGGTGATCCCGCTAAGATGGGAACAAGGTAGCCCGAGTATAAGGGGCTCCCTTTCCATTACCCAGGTCATGGACCTGCTTTAGTCGGGCTTGATACTAAGGCACAGCATGGCTGATAGTAGGCTTG